ATAACAGTAACAAGGGAAATACAGCGGCCACTGGAGGTTTGCACACAGAGAGCATTCTGACGTTTCTATCTGAGTTAAAAATGTTCTTAAAAATAGAACGTAAAAAAGTATACTAGATTCTTCGGAAAGTATGTAACAAGCAGAAGAAAACGTTTCCGACCCCATAAAGTATATATATTCTTGATCAGGATCACTAGCCGAGTCGATCTAGCCATGTCCGTCTGTCCGGATGAACGCTGAGATCTCAAAAACTATAAGAGCTACGCTATTGAGATTTGGCGTGCAGATTCCTGAGCTTCTTACGCACCGCAAGTTTGTTTCAGCAGAGTGCCACGTCCACTCTAACGCCCACAAACCGCCAAAAACTGTGGCTCCTACAGTTTTGATGCTAGAATAAAAATTTTAACTGAAATGTATTGTTCTCATCAATACCTATCGATTGACCCCAAAAAAAGTTTGCCACGCCCACTTTACCGCCCACAATCCGCCCAAGCCTGTGACGCCCACAATTTTCATGCTAGATAACATCTCGTCAATAACTATCGATTGATCAAAAAATAAATTTGCCCCGCCCACTCTAACGCTTAAATCTTTCTACCGCCGGTAGGTGGCGCATTTTAATCTCGCTTTGCTGCTTGCATATCTCCATTTAGCTGAGTAACGGGTGATAGTCGAGGTACTCGACTATAGCGTTCTTCCTTGTTTATTTTGTAAAAATTTAATTGAGACTTAGTTCTTATTATCAATTAACATCTATACCAAAATTTTTCGTTAAAAAGTTATAAGAAAACAATAATTGATAATTAGCAAACTCAAGAGTTCGAGAGGGTTTAGATATATTCATATAGAAAATCGGCTGCTAACGAAATTTCACTAGCGCCACCTAGCTTTCACGTTATGTGGCGTGTTAGTGACATCTCGTAAACAGGCGATAGGAATGAACATTAGGGGAATCTTATTTGTTAGCTGAGTGATGGGTATCTGATAGTCGAGGCCGTCGACTATAGGGTTTTCTCAGATTAACAGAGTAGTACGTATTTAATAGTAACGGCACTCGACTATATCGTTCCTTTTTGTCATATTTTAATTTATAATTTTTTCACGATTTCTATTTTAAGTGTTTCGTTTCTGTTTTGTTTTTTTCACCTTTGGTTTTGAGTTTTTATTAAGTGTGCTGTCTTGCCACTTTCACCTCGCAGCTGTGTTTGGCAATCAAAAGTTTGCTGCGTGCGACATTGAGACGGCAGATAAGGCGGCTGGTCCTTATAAAAGTTGGTAAATCTTTGATTGCACAATAATGATGCCGGCCCTAAAATATTTATTTTTGCAAATGCCAAACATTTCGTCTAAGCTTGCAATTTTTAAAAAGATTAAAAGATACCAGACCTTTTTATTATATTTAAAAACAATTAACATTGTGTAACGGATATCTCATAGTCGGGGGGAAAAGATTACATCAACATTTACAATTTGTATTATTATTTTATTCTAACATGTACTTTATATTAAAAATTACATTTTTAAATGGTTAAAAATATTTTGCTCATTTAAAAAATAAAATTAGTATGGTTGCTTAGAAAACTATTTGAAACTGACGTTATGTTGCTTTTTCTTTTCGAACTACGACTGGTTACGATGGGTAATGTTATTATTGTAAGACCAGTTTTGAATTTAAATCTTTTCGGAGCAGTTTTTCTCTTATAGCAACAGTTGTCTGCTCCCCCGACTCGGTGATATTGCCTTTTCAACGCCCATAATACTTAATACAGCCTCTGCTCAGGACGCCTGTTTGGTCCTCAGCTCTCGATGGCCTCCGTCTCCAATTGGGCCTCGATTATCTCTGCGTGCAGGCGCACCATGTGGTTGTTCAGGTTGCCAACGCTCTGATAGCACTTGTCGCAGTACTCGCAGGCGAATGGCTTCTCCCCGGTGTGCACGAGCAGGTGGGAGTTCAGGTGACCCCGCGTGAAGAACGCCTTGGAGCACCGGTCACACTTGAAGGGCCGCTCCATGTTGGGGTTGTGCGAGCGCATGTGGGTGCGCAGGTCCGACTTGGTGGGCCAGTACTTCGAGCAGCGTTGGCACTCAAAGATTCGCGGCTTGGCCTCGCCGGTGTGGGTGCGCAGGTGGGACAGCAGCTGGGTGCGCAGGACGAACCGCCGTTCGCAGTGCTGGCATGCGAAAGGTCGCTCCGTCGAGTGCACCGACTTCACGTGGTATCGCAGGCTGTGCCGCGAGGCGAAGCTCTTGCCGCACTCCTCGCATTGGTACCGCATCTCGCCCATTCCGTGCACGGCGATCATGTGCAGCTTCAGCTGGAAGTTTCGGGTAAACTTCTTCTCGCACTCGCCGCACGGGTGCAAGGACCGCGGGGAACCAGCCGTCCGCTCCACACTGGGTTTCTGCTTGTCTTGGCGTGGCTTTGTTCTCCGTCTTTTGGGCTTTCCCGTGGGCTTCGGTTCTGGTTCTTCTGGTGATTCCGGGGGCGTGGGCAGTTCCACTTCGAAGGGCTCGGGGGTCTCCGGCTGGTGATGCGGCGTATTGAGGCTGCCGGAGTCTACAGTTGATGCCCAGTACGTAGGAGCCTCGAACTCACTGGGTGAACTCTCCTGGAAGTCCAAGCTTTCTGTAGGGATACGACAAATAAAATTTATTAGCATATTTTGAATAAATATAAATTTCCTATAGATTGGGAGGACTATAATATGACAAGACAGTGCTTGAGGCGTTGGGACATGGAATTAAATTATATCATTCACAGTACCAAAAGCTTTATTTTTGGAAATGTCAATATTGTTTTAAAGTCAATAACAGATAACCCTTTATATTCATAATTGTTTAAACTTAAATCAAACTGCCCTGTGCGAGGTGCAGTGAAATCAACCATAAACGGGCATGGCTAGCCCTCGAATATCAAAAATGTTTTTTTTTAATAAATTACTTCTTTTTGTTTGGATAACACTTCCAAAACTTCATTTTGATCGGAATGGTAGGTTAGATATAGAAGGAGGTGGGCTGTTTAAATGGGTTTTATTCGAAACCACATCTTGGAAACTGGAAGATCCGATCATTCAAAAAGTAACAAACCGTATTTAAAATTTTATTTTTACATATTCATCATTTTAAAAACTATTGCTTAAACGAAATATGACGCAATTTTTAAGTTTTTATAATTTACACATACAAACAAAAAAAATTAGTTAACATTTTTGTTCAAACACTTTGTTTAAGCAGTATATTGGGATACACTAACAGACAAAATGTACATTGTAAGTTTCTAATGATCCTGTTTTTTCTTCTTTTTTTAAACTTTCAAAAACATGAACAACTATGATGGTAGATTCAGAACTCTCTTTCAACCACAGTATTAAATGAAACTGTATTCCGATGGAAGACGAAATAAAATAATTCGAAAAATTTGTTCACTCCTTTTCTAGTTGAGCTTGGCTTTAAAAATAAAGTCTATAGTCACTATAGTGACTTCCTGGGACAGATCGAGGTTCACACCTGTTGGGGACACCTTACCAAAGTCTACAGTCTCCATGAGCGGCGACACATAAGCCACCGGCTTGCTGGGCTGCTGATGCGCGGACACAGGAGCCTCCAAACTGCCCACCTCCCGCTCCAGGCACTCGAGCACGTCGTCCAGGGCCAAGGCGTCGCCCACGGCCACCGTGTGCTTCCACTGCTCGTGGCGCAGGCGGAGCACCTGCTCAGAGTGCTCGCACCGCCTCTGGAAGTCGCGGGCGTCGTGCAGGCGGCGCAGGCAGAGATCGCAGATCACGTCGGTGAGATTGTCGCCGGGATCCAGGAGCAGGGCGGGGGCCAGGGCCTTCAGCTCCACGGCCAGGCGGCTTGAGGCGTCATGGAGGCTGTGGTAGAGCGGCGGTTGCTCCAGCAGACAGCAGCGGCAGACGAGCGGGTGGTGCAGCAGCAGCGAAAACATAATACTTTGGTGCCAAAATCTCTAACAGTCACGTACCGGTATCGGGCTTTTTTTTTCCAAATTACGGTCGCGGGTTTCACTAGAAATTAAATTTGAAAGGCCAGAACCAAACGATTGGTAGCACTGACGTTCATAATTGTTTTTATCTAAATTTGGTCTGCCTAGGTTTTCATTTTAGAACCTATACGAAATCGGATCAGATCGCGGTTTGATCCCAGGCTTAATACTTGGTGCGTCTGCTCGGATCGCCGTTCGCTGGACGTCTGAGGGTGCGGTCCGCATCCGATCCATTCCACAAAGTAGTGTTGCCAGCGATGGCTATCAGGAAAGGCGACCGGGGGCGCACAGATAGCCCTTGGCTTGGGCGATAAGTCAGCGGCGGCGGTGGCGACGATTTGGCTGGGGGGTGGGGGTGCACAGATTCTACAGGAAAGAGCATCTGCGGAGAGGGTGTCAGGGGTGGGGTAGGGCTACTTTTGCAGGTCAACGTCAACGTTTGCTAATTTTCAGTTCGTGCCGGCTAATTGATTACCCTGGTGGACATCCGCAGACTGTCCCTGAACCGCGATAAGGCGTAATTATCTCGTCGTTATTTGGGTGGTCCACATCCCGGAGATCCCCACCACCTACCTACCTCCATTCTCCGCCGTGCCCTCATCGTTGAGTGTCGAACGCACCGAAATAGACCTGTACCGGACCTTATCTTCGATCCGCAGCGGATTTCCCAGTCCTCTCGCTGTTGTTGTATTTACCGCTACCTTTCGACGGCCAAAACTGCTCCAGGAGTTGGCCAACTGATTCGCCACTGATGAAAGTCTCTTGTAAATGTCACTAGAAATTAAATGGTACCAATATTGCCATTAAAATGCTCAGTCAGTATAGTTTTTGAAAAGGGCAATAAGTAGGTGGCAACTGGGGAAGCCTTAACAAAAATAATTTGTTTACGGCATGAGCTCACTATCTCGCCTGGCGATGATTTTGGAATCTAAAGTTCAGACGCAGCTTATCAATCTGACAATCATAAATTCCGTTTAATAATCTCAAACAATAGCTTTTTATTCAAGGCTTAAGGTAAAAGATTTTCTTTCGTCTTGTAATACATTCAATAGTATTTATGTTTATGTAGCTCATTCACTCAAAAAGCGACACCTCTCAAGATAGCATTTTGAGATAAATGCATTTAAAGCGATTACATATTTAATCTCTCAACCTCTGTGTACTAAAAATAGGATCAAATTGTTTGTGTTGTGTTTTTTGAGATATGTATCTTTTTAAGTCACTCATTGAGCAAATGAGCGATAAATACGTTCAATGTATAGGTAAGGCATGGCGTGAAAGGACCAACAACAAAATTAAAGCAGTCGCAATTTCCACATTTTTTATGAATAAGAAGTGAATTTTAACACATGTCTGTTGTACATGGTAAAATAAGATTGAATAAAGCGATTACATAGTTGAGATTAAAGATGAATTTACTTAATGGGATGAATTTCCCCGTAAAAGCCCTTTGGCATGTTAAATCAGTGATCGTGCATGCTGGACAACTTCTCACTGATCTGCAACTGGGTTTTTATCATCATGGACAGGGTGATGGCCATTAGCATATCGCGCAAATTAGCATTGAACATTAGGCGGAAGTTCTCGGAATCCACGACCGGAACCGAGCTGAGGGCGTCGTGAAGGGCCCGGCCAACCAAGTTGTCCGGCTTTCTCTTCCGGGCCAAAACGTCGTTGATATAGCGCAGCACCAAATCCAGGCGCTGTTGCATGACCTTTGTGCCTTCCACCACTTGAACCAATTCCGGCAAAATGCGTCCCACTTGTTTAGTTGCCGGGTGCAGCGATTGCTTCTCCATCAAACGCAGAGCCACCATTTCGGAATTTCCACTGGTCATCTCCAGCGGCAGCATCGAGAACATCAGGCCTTTGGTACCGCCGGGCACTCCGATCTCGACAGCGCAGTACAGTCGCGGTAGCAGTCTCTGGGTCTTCAGGGTTGCATCTACTAGAAGGTGCAATGGCTGCCCTTCGCCGCATTCTCTGGTATAATATTCGTAAAGCAGAGTCGCGGAGCGGGACACCGATTTTCCAGTGGAGAACCATCCCAGCACACGCTCTTGCGGACAGGTGAGCATATTGAGCTCCAGAATATCGGTAGCATATGCATGATCCAAGTCTATGCGGCCAATGTCCGGCTGTTCCTTGTGTAGCACTGTGAAGCAATTGGTGATCTCGATGTGGCCATTCTTAGCGTTGTTACGGCCCAGAATTGTGCCCATTACCTGGCGTGTAGCTTTTGATGAATTACTGGAAGGGAACACGATTTATGTGCACTTACCTGCTTGGCATCTTTTGGTCGGCGATCGTAGGCGTCGATAATTTGGAAAAGCACCAATGGGTGTAGCAGCACCTTGGCCCGTATATTAAAATTGCTGGTCATCGTGAGTTGTAAGAAAAACTTTTAAGAAAAAAGACTACTTTCAGCAAAGTGAAGTTGGCTGTGCTTGCGTCAAAGTCAAAATGCCAGTGTTGGACAATCTGAAGAACAGGAAACATGCCAAAGTGTGGTTTTCCACCCATTTAGAAACAATTAAAAATGAAACACAAACTCACTGTATAAAACGATTTATGAAATATTCTGGATGTTTTTTATAAGCTTTAATATTCATCAAAAATCTCCAGCAACTGAGGGAACGACCCTAATTGGTCCGGTTGAATTTTTAAACACCTGTGACTTGTTTCGTAAGTAAAAATATGTAACATGTTTTTTTTTTTATAAGTTATTGATTAAAATCAATAATAATATAAGATTAACTAAAACTATACATTCTAATTTGATTTTAATGTAAAAATTTCCTGCTGCTGATGCTAAAATGGTTTTTTAATGAGTTAATGTGACAACTCTGATTTGCAGAATGGGGTTTGTATGGAACAGTTAACAAATAGCTTAGAGATTACCCTAATTCTTTGTTGAATCTATGTTGTTTCGAAAAGTTTTGTGACAAAAGTTAATCAAACAAAACTAACAAAGGTCTAGTGTTTAATGTGGTTGGTTGGTGACAAACTTACCGCCAAAATTACCAACCTGATTACTCCGAACTTAGTTAATTTTTTGAACATAAAACAACCAAATCATCGAAGATTTTTTTCACTCCTTACATAACCTCACAACGTTGTGGCGCCCACAATTTTGAAGATTTTGTTTGCAAGCAAGTGTAATTTTATTTTGATTGCCAATACATATCTGCACACCAAATCGGTACATTAGTTAATATGTTAATCTTGTGCCCGTTTATAGCAAGAACATGGACAGTAACGTCACAGTCGGTAGATAAAAATATAATGTGTAAAATGTAAAATTTTTGAAGTAGATAACAACGGTGTGTCATGGTCATGGCGTTCGAGTATACATGCATACTTTTTTATTCTCTTTAAAAATCCAAATTTTATACCTTTACAACAGTGGTGCCCACTGGCCTGACTCGCGAGTATGGACAACTCTGCCGCCGCACTGCCACGACACCGACGTTCTAAAGATAACAACAACAATAAGACATTAATTTTTTTAAATACCTTTATTATTTCATTACATACATTTATATTTTATACCAGTTAATCGTAGACTAAAACGAAATATTGTAGGTAAACGTATGTCACAGGCAGAAGGGAGCGTTTCCGACACCATAAAGTACTACTGTGGGCAAAAAGTAAAGTGAATTTGTTGTCTTCGATTTTCGTGGCGTTGTGCAAATAAGAAAGCAATTCATCTAATAAGACCCGAACTATGGGCAACAACATCTGATTTTTGCATCACGATAAAAAACCGGCTCACATTTCACTCGTTCTCCGTGACAATTGGCTCCAAGCGTTTCGAGTCGATTGTGGATATAAAACGAAATTGAAGAAAGTGCTGATGTCTATACCGGAAGTGACTATTTGGGATATTTCGAGGATTGGAAAAACTTCACTTTAAAGGGGATGAAACTGATTTAGAAAAACAAATAAGGAATTATCATTTTACAAGCAAATTCACCATACTTTTTACGCACAGTAGTTTTATTTCTAGTTTATAAAAATATACAAAAAATATTATTTTTAGTTATCGGCTGTAGAAAAGAAACGAAAAACGATAAAAATTAATAAATAAATCTTCATGGCCCACAAAATGTTTGTCAAATATGATGGTGTTACTTTCATTAATCACAAAGTACCAAGAACCGTTATCAATACTTTTATATATTTAACTGACTTGGTTTTTCACAAATCTTTTCCCTGGCACTGCTGAAACACAAACAAGCTGTATAGGTTTTTTTATACCCTTGCAGAGGGTATTATGATTTCAGTCAGAAGTTTGCAACGCAGTGAAGGAGACGTTTTTTATTATATCTTTGGTGTTTTTTAACATATAACCTACTACGCTTGGAATTAACATATGATATCTGATAGTTCATAGTTCTGAATTTCGAATCTAATTTAATCAAAAACGGACGACTATATCATATAGCTGCCATAGAACCGATCGAAAAATTGGAAAATAATATGAAACCAAATAAAGCTTCGGTGTTTTTTGACATATTATCTTATTGGGAATATCATTTTTTGTATATTTTGTAATAAATTTAACTGCAAGGGCGTACAAACTTCGGCTTGCCGAAGTAATTTCCTTTCTTGTTATTTTTGCTCCACCTTTTTAGTCAAAATTATCTCACGAACATATTACGTGAACTCTTAATAATATTATTGTCCGCACGATAGATTGATACTGAAATTATTTGGAATTTTTGACTTGTCGTCACATATGAGATTTGACGAGTTCTTTACCTTACCCTTCTCGTCATCTTACCCTTCACTCACCAACGGCTGTCAAGGACAGTAGTACCGCTACTGACCGCTTAGTAACGTGGCGCTGGTGCTGTGTGTTTTTACTTGCTACACCCGTTACTCGTAGAGTAGAAGGGTATACTAGATTCGTTAGAAAGTATGTAACAGTCAAAAGGAAGCGTTTCCGACCCCATAAAGTGTATATATTCTTGATCAGGATCACTAGCCGAGTCGATCTAGCCATGCCCGTCTGTCCGGATGAACGCTGAGATCTCGGAAACTATAAGAGCTAGGCTGTTGATATTTGGCGTGCAGATTCCTGAGCTTCTTACGCAGCGCAAGTTTGTTTCAGCAGCGTGCCACGCCCACTCTAACGCCCGCAAACCGCCCACAAGTGTGGCTCCTACAGTTTTGATGGTAGAATACAAATTTTAACTGAAATGTATTGGTCTCGTCAATACCTATCGATAGATCCAAAAAAAAGTTTGCCACGCAGACTATAACGCCCATAACGCTTAAATCTGTCTACCGCCGGTAGGTGGCGCATTTTAATCTCGCTTTGCTGCTTGCATATCTCCTTTTCCATTTAAAACCGCATCTATAATGTAGAATTTTAAAATGATTCTTGTGGTCTAAATACACTATTAAGGTGAAAAGTAAATGTATATATATTTTTTTAGTTATATTTAATTGATTTACTTTAAAATAAAATCATAACTTTTAATACTGCAAAGGAGGAAAGACAATCGGGGAAAATGGGGAAAACTCAAAGTGGTAACGAGACAACGCGGAAAGGGATAACAAGGAAAAGAGACAACAAAAGGTGGCAAAATAATTTTTTTAAATAGTATTTGAATCGCGGAGTTCAAAAAAACAACACACATTATTTTTAAAGCTTTTTATTTTTAAATAAGTCTATGGAGACAAAATAATATGGAAAATTTTTCGACCACTCTTAAGGCTGACACATTTGTAACGTCCAACATGTCACGTCCAACATGTCACGTACCCTTACACTGTTTATAGTATATAATATAAATTGTAATTGAAGAAAAGTGCGTAGCACGTAAAAGGAAAAGTTTATACACATTCTTGGTCAGAATCACTAGCCGAGTCGATATAGCCATGTCCGTCTCGCCGTCTGTATGTCTGTCCGTATGACCTGATCAAGAATATATATACTTTATTGTGTCGGAAAAGCTTCCTTCGACACATTTCTTTTAAGATTTTCTTTTATTGTTAATTGAAATAAATAATAATAATTGAAATTTTATTTTAAATGTTATGACTAACTAACTAACTAACTAAGTTAAACTGGATTTGGCATGGTCTGTAGTAGTGCAGTGTGACCAATAAAAATGCGCTGGAATTTTATTTTCTTTTACATTCAAACCGGAGTTACAGGTATCTGATAGTCAAGACACTCGACTATAGCGTTTCTTCTTGCTTAAAGTTGCGCAGAACTGTCAGCAAGGGTCAATTTGACCAGAATGAAATGGACTGTCGTATTGACTTTTGAATTATTCGCTCCTAAACATACATATTTATGCATAATAAAATATAATGCTGTGTTCGGTTTAAGAGGGAAGGGCAATTTGAAATTAGACTGTCGGGCGAAATCTGTCGCAATAGTGAAAATAATTGTATTCACAAGTTCGAGTGTATTTATCATGGAAGACTCAAAAATATTTTTGGCTTTTGTGTCAGGGACTCTATGTTTGGCGTTCCTGGCGTTCGAAGTGGCGGGCTATCGTCTGGACGACTTTGTTCTTACCTCGCACCTAAGCTACTTGGAACAGCGACCACGTTCGTATACGCCAGAGTCTTGGGAAAGAGGAACTAACATCGTGGTGGGTATCTACATGGTCATCCTTTATATGATGTTCCGGCTGAGGGAGCACATGCGGTTGCAGAACGTAAAGGATATTCGCCGACAGCTGGAGTTCGAGGACCTCTTCCGAATGGAGACGGAGTTCATAGACAAGCTGCGATCCCAAGGCATCGAACTGGATGGTCCCACTTTGGACTCGACCTGCGCATAATCGTCTTGGCGACCGCATTCAGGAGCCAATCAAATATCTCGTTAATGCCGCCGCCTTGGACAATGTTAATGCTGGATTCAGAGTACGAGTATATATATGTACACAGATCGCACGGCTTGATTGCTCAGAATTAAATTCAACATTCGCCCGCCGAGTCGGGCGCTACACCTACACTGCTCAATTACGCGACACATCCAATATAATCCTCCTCGGCCGAGTTGAACGTGCCCGACTGACATTACTACGTACACCACTTATACTATATGTACAACATGGTTACTCGTACTACGTACTCGCATAGCATTGGTTGCCAGCGGCCGTACACTTCCAATAGTTCATTGTTTGGTTCTGCACATGAGTATATTTTTATCACACACTATGCCCCTGCTATTGCTACCGATTGTGTGCACTTTTTTCGGTTTGAAATAAATTGTAAATGATTTTTATTAAAATTTCCGCTTAAATTTCTCAGCGGTAATATCTGGATCCCTGCCCCCACCGTTATATTTGTATCTTTCTATCTATACCCTCCCATATTATTACGATTTCAAAATTCCTTGCAAGTTCGCACTTTTTGGTGGGGTCACACAAATCGTGCCGATCGCACCTTACACATAGAAAATTGCTCAATTAAAATTAATTATAAGTTAAAAACAGGTACAATTTCTATAGATATTCTTATTCATATTCAAATACAAATGTGTATATTGTGTTCGGGTAAAAATATGGAACAGGTAGAAGGAAGCGTGTTAGACCCTATTTTGGATGGGTACATTGATATTGATAATCAAAACAACATTTCATTTACAATTCTACAAAATCATTTAAAATTCGTCCTGGACAGACCTTAGCGTTGTGGGCCACGAAGTTTCCGAGATCACAGCGCTCACATCTTGGCTAGATCGCTCCCGACAAAGAATAAATGTACATATATGTACAAATTAAATAATTAATTAATCCGTGTGCCGGCTGGCCGTCCGTCTGTAGAGGGGGTGAAGCTGGCTGGCAGAACGTCTGTAGCAGGAGGTCGGTTGACCGTAGTTGTAGCTGGTAATATCAGCCGCTGTGTGTGTTGTAGTTGGCCGGTTGGCCTGCGTCATCAACAGTAAATATATGACGATTAGGTTGAGAGGGTAACTGCCCTCTTTTAGCCCGCTGGCCTAGAGACTCAGACTGGGTGTAATTTCAATAAATCAAATACGGCGATGGCCGGAGTTTCAATTCGTGAGCGTTAGCTCTTTATTCTTTCAAATCAAAATGAGAACTAAACTTAAAGCTAACATAAAAAGGGACTCATAGCGGCCACTCCAATGGGTAGTGCTTGCCGGCTATGCACGGGCTTCCGGCCAGACGCTGTGTCAGCAATTTGGCCGGAGCGAGCTTTCGGACGATCGGTCATTGCCGTCGCCCGGTTAACTTACTTAGTTAACTACTCCCCCCTCAGAATTAAGGCCGTCCTCGGCCGACCCTATTTGGGCGATCATATCTGCTATTTGGGCCGTAGTTCTCCTGGCCTGGATGACTCGCCGATAGGTGAAACCGACGCAGATCAACGCGCAACATATTGCTGCTGCCACCAGTACTATCTGATGTGAATGATAGTCGTTGATATTCTCCCCGACTCTCTTTATGTGTTCCAGATTACGTTCACTCAAGCGGTGAAGGTATGGAAGACTGAGGATGTTGTGCTCCATAGTGATATTCAGGGAGGGCGAGCTGGCTACTCCTGGGACCCTCTTCTGGGCCCTGTCATTATTGACATATCGGGTTTCATTAACTACGGCACTCTCAATAAAGGTAATGAGATGCGTGCCTCGTATGTGGATGTAAGTGCCATTATCTACACTCACACGTGCCGGACGATCGTTTACAATTATGATGCCTTCATCTACGCGAGTAATTGGATGTAGATCGCTGTGCTGGATGTCACAGTGCGCTATGCCTCCAGCGTGGAGCTCTTGTGCGCACGACCTTCTTACCGCCAGCTGGCAAAATGTGGCTCCAGATGTTGTGGAGCAATTGTTGACCGTATGAATTGCTCCATTGCAATCAGCTATTATTTTGTCCTCCAGCCTGAGCATCGTGTCATGATGGGACACGGGAAAAACAGTGATTTTAATACAGGATGATTTGATTATTGGAAATTTGATGACAAAATACAAAAGGTTATCGGACTGTAATATTTTAACGGAAGCAACGGACAATAGGTCTTTGATGGGGGTATCTGTGGGCTCTTCTATCCATATATCTTCTAGGTCTGCATGATCTAGTATACTAGGGCTCACAATGTTGGCCTTAGCTAAAGCAATCGCTAGCAATAAGTTTTGCAGCTCCATACTAATCATTCTATTTCGGGATAATAACATCTCATAAAGATGCCCCGTGTCAACTTGGGTTCCCTTGGCTGACCTCAGAAGTTGGTTGACGGTGGAAGTAATATTATTAATTTGGTCTTGTACTTTACTATTGATGTTTATCTGCCTATTGTTTGCATTTATTAACTGGAATTCATTAAATTTAATTTTTTCGAAATCCTCTGCATCTGGCGTTCCCGCCACTACTTTTAACGCCGCTCCTAGAAAATCCAAACTCCTAGCTACTCTGTGGTGGATGCTCAACGAGTCGAGCAGGTCACGCAGATGAGCAACATCGACAATCAAAAGTTTCTGCATGTGTGACTGGGGAAACATGCTGATCATGCCATTTGTTTCTTCCACCACGCGCCTATATTCTGAGAGATTCGCCGAGTGTGTGACGAACGCGAATTCTTCCCAAACTAAAATTCTACCATCAATGATGGGAATATATTTGGCCTGCGAGTAGTCCGAGACGTGCCCCGATGTTACGGTAAGCAGGACTAACAGGGATACGAATGCGAACCTGTAATATTGGATGTATTGTAGTGTTTGTTTAGAATATTGTAGCCCACCACCAAAGCATGAAGAAAAAAGCACAATTATAACAAAAACTTATACCGAGTGGATAGGGGTGAGAAAATATGGAAAAAAAAACTTATGCCAAGTGGCTAGGGGTAGACATTAGAAAAAATGAATTATTATCTAATGTTGTTCCTTGTGGAAAAGAAAACTTACGCCAAGTGGCTAGGTGTAAACGTTAGAAAAAATGAATTATTATCTAATGTTGTCCTTGTGGACCACCCTCCCCTTAATGAGGACCGTGGTCCCCAGGTCCGCTTCAACAGCTTTTTCCTCACACAGTGGTGTGAGTTTATTGCCAAGCCTTCGGTTCGACTTAACCAAAACTTTCTCGCCGACTTCGAATGTTCTGCATTGTCGGGAGGCATTTTCCCTAGCCCTGAGCGTGTTTTGCGCCCTAACGATCTTATTCTGGACGTCCGTCTGTGGGTCGTTTGGATGCTTTTGTATGATGTCGACTGGCCGTTTGTCGACGACAGAGTGAATTGATTTATTATATTTGGCGGTTGCCAATAAAATAATTTCCACAGTATCGGTTATCTTCTTGTCGATTTTTAGGCAACGAGCAAGCTCCAAGAGGGTGCTGTGAAAGCGCTCTACTTGCCCGTTTGAAACGCTATGAAGTGGTGGGGCATTTGCAATGCTGACGCCAAAATGGTTGTCAAGCATGGCTGAGATAGTGTGCGAGTTTAACGAAGGTTCATTATCGCAATAGACTACTTTAGCCCTAGGGAAAAAGTTCATGATTTGGAGAATGGCCGGTTTAAGATCCTCGATTGTCCTAGAGTGGACATGTTGCACAACTGCAAACTTCGAAAACTTGTCGATGCAAGTGAGGAAGTATTTCTTGTCTGTGGAAAAGATGTCGATATGTAGCAGTTCTCCCACATGAGAGGGGATCGGAGTCTCGCCTAACTCATGCTTCTTTGGGTGCCTATCGTACTTGGCTTTCGCACATGTTTTGCAGTTTGCTACAATCTCAGTGGCTAGCTTGGCCATCTTTGGAAAGTAGTACTCGGAGAGTATCTGCTTAACATTTTCTTGGGCCGATCTGTGAGCCCTGTTGTGCTCGACGGTGAGGATTTCCCGTCTTTCAGGAACTGCAAAAATATCCGTTACACGGTTTTTGCAATGCCAAAATTTGGTGGCTGGAAACTGCCGAACCAATTCGTCCTGTATCATTGCCAGCGTGGGCAAGTCACAATGAATGGCGTTTACGCCCTTAGGAACGATTATATCTGCGAGTTCATCAAGTAATGACTCTTTGCAGGAGAAGTTAATCACATGCCGTCTCTTGTTTCCAAAGAGGACGAAGCTGCGTTTTAACGGAAAGCGTGCCTCCTCCAGAGTTATCTGGTTCTGGAAGCAATTCAAAGGCTTGTCCGTGGTTTCAATGGTATAGGTTAGCGACAGCTCACTGTGAATTGTGGCCGCGCTAGAAAAAGCCTCTTCCTCTTCCACAACGTTAAGTTGCTGTCTTGAGAGGGCATCCGCAACAAGGTTATCTTTGCCGGGTTTGTAAAAAATTTTAGCGCCGGACTCGTCGATGCGGGCTTTCCACCTCTTGATTTTCGCGTTCGGATTAGATTCCGACACTGCGAAGGTCAACGGTTGGTGGTCAGTAAAGATATTTATATCTTTGACTGCATACAAATAGTGGCGTAATTTGGCCAGTGCCCAAACTATAGCTAATAGCTCCCTTTCATTGGTAGCGTAGTTAACTTCCCTGTCCTTCAAGGTCCTAGAGATCATTGTTATGGGTCTCCCTTCTTGGGATAGGACTGCGCCAATGCCGTACGCTGAGGCATCCGTCGTTAGATCAAACGCCTTTTGGTAGTCGGGGTATCTGAGGATGACATCCTCGGAAGCCAGAATGTTACGCAGTTTTTGGAAAGCCTGCCGTTGGGGCTCGTTGAACTGCACCTGGATGTTCCTGGATCTGTGTCTACTGACACTTCCAAGTTCCCCTTTCAAAATATCAGTGATCGGCCGAGCTATGGACGCAAAATCTTTTATGAAGCATCTATAATAGCTGGCCAAGCCAAGGAATGACCTGACCTCGAATATGTTCTTAGGCTCTGGGAATTCCTGAATGGCTTTTATTTTCTCTGGGTCTGTGGTAGCCCCGTTATTGGTGACTATGAACCCTAAAAAGCTGACGCTTTTCTTGAAAAATCGTGACTTTTCTGTTGATACCCTCATATTTGCATCGTGTAGGCTCTTGAGAACCCAATCCACGTGCCGGATGTGGGAGTTTTCGTCCTCCGAAAAGACGATAACATCATCAACATAGACATAGCAAAATTTGCCAATCTGCTCTCGCAGTATGTCATCAATTGTTCTTTGGAAAATGCTGGCTGCATTTTTTAATCCAAATGGCATTCTACGAAACTCGTACTTTCCTCCGTTAACGGAAAAGGAAGTTTTTTCACGGTCGCATTCTGCCAGCGTGATCTGATGATATCCGG